ACATGCAGATGTCATATTCTTGGTATATATCGCCAAGATATTCCCAATATCACCAACATATTTTCCAAGATTTGTCCAACTACATACCATTACTGTATATTACTTCAGGATGGGGCCCCCAAGATAGCTAAGTTGCCTTACAAGTGGCTTAACTATGGTTTATGGTGGATAGAACAAATTAGTTAATGTGTTAATGGGGTTATAAACCAACATGTAACTGGGGGGGGGGCACCATCTTGTTGGTCGTATTACCATTACTGTATATTGCTTGGTGCTTCACAGTAAGTGGCTATGACTCGGCTATGACTGGCTGAGGTGAACTAACTGGTGAACTTGAACTCGATGCCGCCAGTGATGTTTGTTTGTTTATAAGCCCCATGAAAAAAGGTTTGAGATATGTCATAGCCCTAAATCATACTATAATTATAGTTAAAAACTATAGAACACACACTGAAAACTAACAGAAAGCAACTACAGCTTCCCCATTTTCTTTGTTTCAAATTACCATATTTTGTGGCTGTTTGCCACCTAAAAATCTAACCTTAAAAAAAAAAATATTTACCATCATCAGAAGCATGTCGGGGCTGCCATCAGGCTGCATTTAAAGCAGCTTTTAAGAGCCTCTCCTCCGGACTGGAAGTCTTGCCCCTCGTCCAGGCCTTAGTCGAGCTTTGCAGCAGATTGTGGTTTAACCAGCGTAGCGTTGAGGTTTGAAATTAATTCGACCATGCAGGCACAACCATTTATATATATATATGACTTATGGTTTCATACCTGTATTACATATATATCTGGGTGAATTTTTTTTTACATTCACACGCAGAAAGTCAGAGACTGTGCGGCCATGCAAAATGTCAACACTTCCCTGCTACTCAGAACTTTACAACTTTACACAGGCTGGTAGTCAGGCAAGAAGGATGACATGGAAGAGACTTCGCTCCTAGTGGCTAATGCCTGGGCCCACGTTCGGGCATCAGCCGAAAAATCAGACCATTGAATGGTTGTCGTGCCAGCCATGCGCAGACGAATGCGGAGGCTCTGAAAGGAGGATCGAATTAGGGCCTCACACAAGCCCGGGGGATACTCCTTCGCGGCAGCCGTGCGAAAACACCCTTTGGCACGGTCATACCCGGAAAGAACTACCGTGGGTCTCAACAAATCAGGCTTCCTGCAGGCGTGCAGGTGCTGCGCTAATTTGGGTAGTCCTAAGCCTCTCAGGATGGTCGGTTTGACCGACATTGCACCGTAGCGCCACTGCTCGATGCGCACCAGCTGGGCCATAGGCGCCCTCATGAGAAGAAGTCGATGAATCATCGTGCGCCAAATCGACGCAAACCCTTCATCATCGGGCAAGGCTGGATGCTCCATGATACTGCCTCCACCGGCCAAACAGATCAGGGCTTCCAACAATAAGCTGTGCAGCATGAGACTCGAACCGACACCAAGCTGGCTTAACTCACGCATCGAAAGGCCAGGGAGGCCCCATGCATGTGAACTGGAGCGCAGTGGTCGAGGTCCTCTGCCATGTAGCTCGTCACAAGCAATGTGGCGAGCTGCCGTCCAGGTCTCACAGGGTGGGCCTGTAAGACCCAACGCAAAAGCACGTCCCTGCGCTAAATGAACTGCATGAGCAAAACTGTCTCCTTCCAGAAGGTTTCCTAACCACGGGTCAATGGCGGTGTCCATGGAAAGAGAAACCACATATCTGGGTGAAACATGTATAAATATATATGTATCAGGATATATGGTGTATATATATATATATACATAGAAATTGGGTGATGTTTTTCACGATCTCACGTCGGGACGTGACCGGGACGTCAACGTAACGAGTCAAAACGATATGGTTTCTGGTGCATTAGCCTCTGGTTATGTCAACAGTTTGCGAACTTGAAGCCATGGGTGAGTCGAAATAGTCTTCGTTTTCCCATTAATTCAATGGGAATTCCAGGATCCTAAATTGGAGGTACTGTACCATATAAGGCCATATTTTGTGGGGATATTCCCTTACATAGGCCTTACATAGGCCTTATATATGGTAGGTACCTCCATTTTAGGTTCCTGAAATGGCCATTGAGTAATAGCATGGTGATTTTCAATAGCTATGTTAGTTTAGAGGCTATTTGTTTAACAATCATACAGTTAAACGCCCGAGTTATACCAGTTATAAGTACTAACAAGTCACCCCATTTATAGAATGTTTCTCATCCCATTGAAATAACCAGTTATTTCACTAATAAATGGCTCACCCTGATCTCACTGGAATCATGGTGAATAAGGGGAATTAGTGACCCTTTTATGGCCTCAATTCAGGGGGAGGGCCGATTCCGATTGCGAAGTATGTGGGCCTTAATTCAGGTGCTTGCGGGGAGGGGGCCGGCCAAAGAGAAGATCAGTGGTCTTAATTCAGGTTAGTGAATTGTTATAATGTACCCTTATATATATAATTATATAAATATATATATATATATATACAACTGTCTACAAAATGGGAACCCTCAGTTTTGTTTGTTGGTTTAGTTTCACCAATCTAATCAATTTATTGGAGGTACTGTATAAACTCACTTAGCTATCTAAACTATAAGGGGTCCCACCGTCCGTACCAGATCGCACCGAGGATCATGATCAGCTGAGAAGCTTCATTCTCATCAACAGCGGAGTCACTGAACAGGACGATGACATGCTGGGGTGACAGGATGCCCCATCAGTGAGTTATATGTGTTGGTTTATAAACATATACAAACCTCGTTACCTACAATGTCAACCGTGGATGAATCAATTCCAGGGCTTTTTAATCTGGTGCGGGCACCATCTTAATAGCAGACGAACATAACCCGTCTGTACTACCAAAATTTAATCCTGTAAGTTGAGGAACAGGGTTTTTATTTTTTTGATCTTGGCCATATGTAAAATACATTTGAAGAGGGGGCGGGGTTAGGGGACAGGATAAAAAACTGAGGTGTTGGATAAAAAAAATAGCGAATTTCAGAAGCTGGGAGACAAGGATTTTGTTTACTGATTATTGATGTGCTATGGATGTTATAGCTAACATCCCCAAAATTAAAATCATTTCAATGGCCATTTCAGGAACCGATTCATTGGAGGTACCTACCATATATAAGGCCTATTTTTCAGGTCTATGTAAGGGAATATCCCCAGAAAATATGGCCTTTTATGGTACAGTACCTCCATTTTAGGATCCTGGAATTCCCATTGATCATGGTTTTTTCTATGTTGATACGTTGGAGCCTCAGGAAATAATTCCCCACCTGTCAGGTGAGGGTGGTTCGATTTTATGTCAGCTGTCCCGCCTCCTCCGCATCCTCCTCCTCCTTCCTCCGGAGTAAAGTGTTCCCTGCGGACCTCAACCACAAAGAATCTCCCAAGATATACCAGATAGATCCAGATAGAATGCCAGAAAGAATGTCAGCAGATATCCCAATAAATATCAGAATGAATGCCAGATAGAATGCCAGAAATGTCATAATAGATGCCAGAAAGGATGCCAGATAGGATGTTAGAATAGATGCCAGATAGAATGCCAGATAGAACGCCAGAAATGTCAGAATAGATGCCAGAAAGGATGCCAGATAGGATGTCAGAATAGATGCCAGATAGAATGCCAGAATAACATGTCAGAATAGAGTGTCAGAAAATATGTGCCATATATACTACCAGATGAGATGTCAGAAACTATGACAAAATAATGCAATGGTTGGGATCGCTCGAAGTGAAGTATTTTCGTTTTGCATTTTTTCCAACGAGTGAACCTCCCTGGGCGGTCCAAAAGGGTATATATAGACGCATTCACTTTCTGATCTTTCTGGCGGTATGGCTAAATACATCACAAACCTATCACTTCTAAACCAACTTAACGATTCGTACCTACGGGCACCACCTCGAGAGGTATGCAGTGAAGGAATTCACCTTGGATTTTGAGCCCACATAACGCCAATGCTTTCTTACAGGCAACCATGAATCACGCAGGGTTTTTTTTAAGTACCCCCAATTAGACCACATTGAACCTCCATTTACCAACGGTTACTTCTATCTTCCGAAAAAGGGCGACACAGCCAACATCTACCTGGCAGGACTTGGAAGTTGAGACTCTTGGAAGAAATTCTCACAGCTGCCAATGAAGATTGGAGGGATTCCCGCAGAATATTTCACATGTGCTTAATATCTGAAACCTGTATGGTAGATATATCGAACTAGTGAATGGGGTTATAAACCAACAAACATAACGGGGGGGATGGCACCACATTGTTGGTTAAGATTCCTAAATTGTCACACATTGTCACTACTTGGATGCATCGCAGACGTTGGCTCAGTGGGTAATTTGTTCAATCCGCTGTTTCATTTACAAGAGCTGATCCTGGGTCAACCTTAGATGGATACTTTGATATTATTCTAGTTGTTTCTATGTATACATATATATATATATATATATATATGCGGACTGTAAATATATATATATGTGTAAACATACATACATACATACATACATACATACATACATACATACATACATACATACATACATACGTACATACATACATACATACATACGTGTATATATATATATACATACATACGTATATATATATATACATACATACGTACGTACGTACATACATACATACCTACGTACATACATACATACATACGTACGTACGTACGTACATACATATATATATACACATATTTATATATACATATATATATATATGCGGAATATATATATATATACATACTGGATTATTGAAGCCATCATAATGGGGATAAAATGATGATGGACCAGTGAATGCAATGGGGTTCCCCAGATACAACACACCCATTGAATTTGGACTCAATCGATTTATGTTTCGAATCAATGACTCAATGTGCAGGCTTGGTATCGTTGGGAAATGATGGTCGATTGATGGTTGCTTGACTGTGAAATTAACTGGTCAATAGGGAATTAATATTACATATTTTCAGTATGACCCCAAATAGGGAAACCTATAGTAACCAACCAGTATAATAGGACTGGGATAAGGCTAGTTTTCATGTCTCAACTAGGCTCCGAAAGATTGATACCGACCAGTTTTCATGTCTTGGATCTGTTCCTTTTCAGGCCTTTCAGGTCTATAGGGAGCGGTTCATTGAGGCAGGTGCTCTTTTCGCACTTCCGCTTTCGAAAAATGTGTTTCTCTTGCAACAAAAGTCTTGTCCAAAGAATCTTGTTCTTATGTAATGTTTGAACTGATATTAGCCGTTTCCTCCCCATATGCTCCATGGTGCTGGAATATGAATCCCAACATTTGCCCCAAAAAAGACCCAGATTTGTAGGTAAATATACCATGCATTGAGGTTTATATGGGCATTAACCAGTATTAACCATTCTTTTCCATCTTTTTCCCATCCCCAGCCAGTTTACATTGAGGTTTATACTACTCTTCGGTGTGCTATCCACGATAGCTGCTGAATTTGCCAGTGCTGAAAGCCCCAAGGATGTTGAAGCTGGCCTCAGCGAGAGATGACTTTAGCATCGACGCCAGCGCGTTGATTTCTTTGCACGGGGAACCCAGGCAAACCCAGCATCGGTGTTGCTGCAAGGTGGTGACACTATCGTGGTAATATTGGGATATATATATATATATATTTATTAACTATATATATATAGGGGATATAACCGGGATATTTCAATTTAATTTAATTCGCCTAGTTAGATTGATGGTTGAATAATAAATTATCTGGTTGGTGGTTTCAAACATGAATTTTATTTTCTTTTTCATATATGGGATAATCCTGCCCATTGACTTTCATATGTTTCAAGATGGTTAAAACCACCAACCACATATATATATATATATATACATAATGGAGATATCACCGGGATATGATGGTGCCTCCTAGCTATGTTTGTTGGCTTAAGGCTTAAAATTTTAACTCCCATGAACTATGGATATATCTACCATAAAAATCCATAAAACTTTTTTATGAACCAACTTAGCGATTTCCGAACTGGGGCACCACCTTGTTAATGTGGGCCGAAAAGAGAACAACCCAGAAAAACATGATAAGAAATGAAGATGAACATTCAAACACGATTAAACTATGTCTGCGCGTTGGCTCATAAACCATAGAGGGATATAGATTTACATCTGCCATAAAAGTTACTGTAATCTATAGGATAGATACTTGTACTAGAAACAAACAAAGTTGATATATCTACTTCTTTTTCCAAAACCTATGAAATTCCGATATGACTGGAGGCAGTTATGCAGCTATACCGTACCTATTTCTTCGTGTAGGGTACCAGGGGTTTGACACCCGTTTTTTGATCGAAAATTCTACGGTGAAAATTCGGTGAAATTCTGGAATGACGAAAACGCATGGCAATCCCTAGATGAGTTGTAGCAATAATAATGTAATTAAATAGGAATTAAATCCTGCTTGGAATCCTGATTGGAATTCATAGGGAGCTGATGCGGGTCTGCTGGGTCAGACCCCCCTCCTCTCACTGGTTTTGCCTGACAGAATCCCCAACCGATGGGTGTCCATCCTGTGGATGGACATATGGTACAGTTCCAAGGCATGACACACTGTAAAATGCCAACAAAACAGGGTCAGACCCCCATCCTCTCAACTGCTCTTAACCGCTCTAAAGCCTTTGGGCACAACTGTTAAGAGTGGTTAAGAGCTGTTAAGAGCATTCAAGCTGCTCTTGACAGCTCTTAACCACTCTTAACAGTTGTGCCCAAAGGCTTTAGAGCGGTTAAGAGCAGTTGAGAGGAGGGGGGTCTGACCCTGTTTTGTTGGCATTTTACAGTGTGTCATGCCTTGGAACTGTACCATATGTCCATCCACAGGATGGACACCCATCGGTTGGGGATTCTGTCAGGCAAAACCAGTGAGAGGAGGGGGGTCTGACCCAGCAGACCCGCATCAGCTCCCTATGAGGAATCCCAGATAGTTATATATATATATATAATATATTTATATGATATGCTTAATGCCTAGAATGACTATAAAGTATTACTGTGGATTATAGTAGCATTCTGTCATAGCATGAAAGTAACAGGTTTCTCCACACTGCTCAGAGATGGGAAGAAGCTGGGCTGCAACCAAGGTTACGTGAGCATCCAATCGGTGACGATGACGTCTTGACACTTGGGCCTGTGGGTTGAAGCCTGTTAAAAAATGGGATAGGGTACCCATACCCCACTAATTACGGGGGTGTTAATAATGGGTTATTAATGGTTATCAAGGGTTATGTCAATGGTTATATTGTTAATAGTTGTATTAATCAATAGTCATTCATATATATATATGGTTATTCACGGTTTTATTGATGGTTATATTAATCCAATAATGGGTGTTATCAATGGTTATAGTGAATGACTATTGTTTATGTATTTTAATATTAGTTAATCCCATCCTCGTAAAATTCACCACCCCTCAGAAACCACTAAGACGGGATAGAAACACATTTTTGCGACATTTTGGGACCATTAAAGATGGGGTATGAACTGGGTATGGGATTTCCCGTGCTATTTTTTGGTGATGTTCTGGTGCTTACTTCATGCAGTGACTGCGCGCTACACAAATGTATTGTAAATATCTATAAATATCTGAATTCTTGGGGTACTCTTTTTTTTCAGAAGACAAAACCAATTGATCGAATCTCGTTAAAAGATCATTGGGCTAATCCGTCATTTTATAGAGGCCGAGATCAAAAATGCGACACGACAGTGGCTGAGTTCAGTTTGATCATCAGATTCGTGGGGATTGGAAAGCCTGTTCCTGAGGCGAATAGCTATAGTATGAACTTTTCAATTCTGTATACATATATATATATATACTTATATACACATGAAATATCCCCAGTAAGATAATTTGGTTTATAACATGAGCCACTTACCAACTTCTATTGAAGGGTCAGGTCAGATTTTCCCAGATATTGAAAACACAGCCATGTTACAGTGGTGAATTGACATGTTTTAACATTCAAGCGTCAAAAGACGAGAAAACGATTCCAGAGTTTGCCAGCCTACTAGGGATGGATGAAATACCCCAAGGGAATCGTGATTTTCACATGATTTGACTGGTTTTTCATCATGACACATGGAGGAAAATTAGGATTTTACCATCAAAAATTGGACTTTCAGCTGGTTCCCAGGAATTGTCAGTGGTGAAATTTCACCCCAGTTATAGATGACGCTAATGGGTAGTCCAGTTAGAACTGGGGCTAAAACCAACTTACTGTGATGCACTACCAAATACATATCATTTGGATGAATTGTAATGACCTCACTGTGACGTCGGAAAAAGTGATGCTGAGTAAGGGCCCCAAAAAGGCATTATTTCAGAAATTTTCAGGTTAGTGAAGTATTGTAGTTCATTCAGAATATCATATCAAAACCAATATCATGCTTTGTAGGCGATAAACTAAACAGCCACAGCTACCTGCTGGAAATTGATGTGTTGCACATTGCGGAAAATTTCACTGAGACGGGCCTTTTGATGATAATTTTCTTTAGAACTACACTCTTTTAAACAAACATAGACCTCGAAAATGAGTTTCTGTAACGAGGTGCCGACACACATGGTCTGGCTAAAAAAATTGTCGCATGGCGTCCGGCGTCCCATGATCGATCGGATAGATCCACAATCCACACCGTTCTTGGATAACAAAATGTTTAGCCTCTGGTAAACTAACACTGGTTGGTGGTGACTGGAACCATGGAATTTTATGATGTTCCATTCAGTTGGGAATGTCATCATCCCAACTGACGAACTCATATTTTTCAGAGGGGTAGATATACCACCAACCAGAACATGTTGCTATGGAAAATGGCCCAGTTAGTTCGTTGATTTACCTATTAGAAGTGGTGATTGAAAACAAGAGCTATGTTAAATTACCAGAGGGTATATGTCATCAAACTAGTTGGAGCACGGCCTTTATCTGGCCGTGCGTTTTCGTGCACATTGGGGGGGTGGGGTGGGGTGGGGTGGGGTGGGCATGTGTTAACGTTCATGTGAACTTGCTAGGTAAGTGGACTCGTCTCTGTGTGTGCCGTTATGTGCGTGTAGACATGGGTGGGGTGGGGCATGTGTTAACGTTCATGTGAACTTGCTAGGTAAGTGGACTCGTCTCTGTGTGTGCCGTTATGTGCGTGTAGACATGGGTGGTGTGGGGTGGGGCATGTGTTAACGTTCATGTGAACTTGCTAGGTAAGTGGACTCGTCTCTGTGTGTGCCGTTATGTGCGTGTAGACATGGGTGGGGTGGGGTGGGGTGGGGTGGGGCATGTGTTAACGTTCATGTGAACTTGCTAGGTAAGTGGACTCGTCTGTGTGTGTGCCGTTATGTGCGTGTAGACATGGGTGGGGTGGGGTGGGGCATGTGGTAACGTTCATGTGAACTTGCTAGGTAAGTGGACTCGTCTCTGTGTGTGCCGTTATCTGCGTGTAGACATGGGTGGTGTGGGGTGGGGCATGTGGTAACGTTCATGTGAACTTGCTAGGTAAGTTTTCGGTTGCTTTCAACTGATACGTCATGCTACGCTCGCGTAAGTGCTCGGGTACTTTTCACTGATACGTCATGCTACGTTCTTGAAAGTGTTCGGGTACTTTGAACTGATTCGTCATGCTACGCTCCTGTAAGTGCTCGGGTACTTTTCACTGATACGTCATGCTACGCTCCTGTAAGTGCTCGGGTACTTTGAACTGATACGTCATGCTAGGTTCTTGCAAGTGCTCGGGTACTTTGAACTGATACGTCATGCTACGCTCTTGTAAGTATTCGGGTACTTTGAACTGATACGTCATGCTACGTTCTTGCAAGTGCTCGGGTACTTTTCACTGATACGTCATGCTACGCTCCTGTAAGTGCTCGGGTACTTTGAACTGGAATTACAAAAAAATGCGTTTTTGCCTAGGCGAAATACTTGTTTTTTCATTTCCTGCACCAGAATAAGGGATTTCTTGTCTTTGAACTCACATCAAAACAATACAGGTCGAATTAGTTGGGGAGTTCTGAGAAACATCAAAAATGATAGTTTCGCCTAGGCAAAACGCTAGATTTTGATTTTATGCACCAGAATCACGGGTTTTTCGCCTTCGAAATCACATCAACCAAAATCCTATTGGCACGACCACATCAAACATCATCCATGACACCCCGTTGATCACCAAAACACCACGGCCAGATAAAGGCCGTGTTCCTAGTTACTGTAGATGATGCTTATTTCATAGAATTGGATGAATGGAAAATTTACAGGAAAGCCCTATATTTGATGGTAAAAAAAAACATGGTTTCCTGTAGATTTTCCCTCAAATCAATCCATTGATTATTGGTAACACCAACTTGAAGTGCCTGGATCTGAGGAATCTCTTCATGAGCCTCTCGACAGATGGTGAAAGCCTGTCCTCGGAGGACGGTGGTTTTATGGGCGTGCCCGGCCCAGTGAAATGGGAATATATTGAATATAACCAGCTAAAAATATGGGAATATCAGTGAATATCAGAGAAACATTTGGGAATATCACGTTATACATAGATAGATATATATATATATACATATATAATGATAATATAATGATGCATGCTATATACATAATATATATATATATGTATAAAGATATCTATATAACTATCGAGACAGAGGGCATCCCACGAATAATTTCAACATCCTATGACTGTTTCTGACATCCAAGGTACAATTGTCAGGTTAAAGGCGCACGACTAAAAAAGAACTTTCCGACCATGGAGGCATGTCAGTGTGAAGCTGTTGAGGCACTTGAACAAAAACAACAGAAGCTGGAAAAGAGGAGGGTCCAGTTTGAAGCTGTCAGCCCCCTTTCTGAGGGATTTGGTCGTGGGCTGTGGGTGGCCATTTTTTCCGGTGTCTTTTTTTTTGTGGTCGTCGTTTGCCTGCTCCGTTCCAGTCGCGTCCTCGCCGTCTCTCTAACTGTCTATTTAGGCCATGTTTGTTATTTTTTAATTTCCATCAGCTATATAGATTTATCGTGATTTATTTACCATACACCATAGTTCACCAAGTTAATCCAAACAACAAAGCAACGCCGCGAGATCACCACAAGCTTAGGTATTATTTCTGGAGAAACCTTGGATGGGTGGTACATTGAAGAACAAAAACATGGATTTAAGATTTTCACCTCCGTTAAGTTTATTATGCTTTATTATTGGGGTTTAACATGGTTTAACATTATATAATCATGGTCTTTTTGACACATGTTTGCCAAATAATTGGTGTTTGCTGAGATAAACAGGTCAACCAACTGGATGGACAGTCTAGCTATCAGAGGGAATACATCCTAAGCAAAGAAAAACAAAATACATACAAAATACATTGTATCAAAATTGGGTGACGTTAGTCAGCATAAAAGCAACCCGACTCCGGACATGATGCAGGTATAAGCACCAGTATAGAGGGGGTCCAGAAAATGCAGGGCTATGATGGTATGCTGGTTGGTGGTTTGGAACATTTTCTATTTTTTCCATATATTGGGAATAGTAACCCCAACTGACTTTCATATTTTTCGGAGGGGTTGAAACCACCAACCAATTTAATCTTTGGGGTTCTTCAGTTGGATCTACCGGACAAAAAGCACAGTTTCTTGTCGAGGAGTTCCTCTGAGGAATTGCGTTTCATCACATGGCGAAACCAGGAGAAAGCAATGCCAACAACAGACCATATGTGTTTGTTTTCTTTTTTGGGCGAGGTGCTGCACCTTCCCCAATGCCGCCCCTCCTGCCAAGAAAGTGGCAAAACCACCTGTTGAACACATTATTTGTACCTGTTTGCATTTGTGTGAGCCTCGAACTAACAGTTTTAACAAAAACCCGAAGACAACTTTCCAAAACTCTAAAGCAATCAAACCTAAACCAATTCTTAAAACCACCAAACCGACCCTAAATAAACCCACAGTAAAGCCTAAACCAAGATTGAACCTTAAACCAACCCTAAATAACTATAACCCTAAACCAGCCATAAACAATCCACAAACCAACCGTAAAACAACCCTAAACCAACCCCAACCAATACTTAAATAGACCCTACACCGACCTTAGAAAAACCCACAATAATTCCTAACCAATCCTAATTGAACCTAAACCAACCCTGAAAAAACAAGGGAAGGTCCCCTTCTAGGCGTCGCGCGTTTTTTAACGCACGACGCCTTTAAAACCTGCATTTCGTGATTTTTTTTTAAATGCATCTTCCAAGAGGAGTCTCCGAAGTAATTTTTTTTTACCTCACCGAAGCAATTGATGATGATGATAATGATGATGATCATGTTGATGATCATGATGGTGATGGTGATGATGATGTTGATAATGATGACGAGAATGTTGATCATGATGATAATGATGATGTTGATAATGATGATGATCATGTTGATGATGATGTTAATGATGATGATTATGTTGATAACGATGATGATGTTGAAGATGATGATGATATGAATTGCAAAGAAGAAATGCGTGTAAGGAAGTAGTTGCAAGTACGCTGGTTAACGTGAACGTTCTAATCCCCCCAAACCCAACCCCATGCCCACACGCCACCGGACACCAACGTCAACATATCAAAACCGAAACATCGACCGCGTGTCAAACCGTGACTTGCAAAAGTGAAAAGCGTGTCAAGAACGAAGATGCAGGAACGTTAATAAACAAGAACGTTATTAGCCCCCCCCCACCCCACCCCATCCCCCCGAACAAACCCTGGCATGCCAACACGCAACTATCACCGCAAGGGCGTCACGAAACACAGCAAAAAGCGCAGAAAATGCAACGGCGCGCAAGAAAACAGTGTAGAACGTGGAATGAAATGGATGCTTCGAAAATGACGTAAACATGAAAAAACGACAACACTCCGCGACGCCCTCGCGGGGTCCTTACCAAAAACAACAGTACCAACCCTGAAGAACAAAAGAGCCAACAATAAATGCACACCAAAACCCCAAACCATGGAAAATGAGAGGTTTGAACTCCAAAATGCTGCAAACACTGTACAATGGCAGATAGGATCTCAAAAAAGCTGCAAATAGCAAGGAACACGGACAGAACAGGAAACCAAAACAAGCGGAAACGCAGTTTCCACACAATTCTCGACCCCATTGTGTATTTGAAGCTGTTTGTTTCCACATTCAAACAACGATCTATAGACCGTTTCCGGGATGAACGGCCAGAAATGAGTGCTCTTTTCAAAAGAAACATATTTAGGACGAATGAACCGCAAAACATGCTATTCAAGTGGCATAAAAGGGACAACATCATCAACATATATGGGATACCAATGGGTACCAGAAAATCATGTTGGGATTAAACCATCCCATTCCATCCCATCCTCCTTTCACCATGCCATGGCTACATTCTGGTGGAGGAGTGTCGGACGGGTCTGCTACAAGTCACCAGCAGGTTGCCGGAGACGGGACTCTCCGAGGAGCAGGGCTGCGTTGGTTAAAAGTTGAGCCATTCAAAATACCCAGAGCCACCAACTGTGTGTTGGTTTACAACCCATAAATGTATACAAAATATACACATGTCCCTTTCCCATTGGTTGGCTGATCAATAGGGGCTTCTCCTATACTATATGACACTATATAACAATCAGTAGGTAGCTGATTATAAATTATATATATGTACCAAACGGGCCCAGCTATTTTGTTTGAAAAGGAGAATATTCTTACAACCTCCACTAACTAGTTCGATATATCTACCAGAGAAGTCCTGGTTATTGGAGTTATGTGAAGCAACGTAGCTATCTCGGGTGCCCCACATTGAAACTGTTGGTGGGCATATAAATGCATCCATGTTTGAGGAAAGCTTATAATATATATATATATAATTAAATATCTTGAGCGGATGCTGACAATGAATAGGAACTAAAGAGAGGTGATGACCCAGGTAAGTTAGCTAAATTAAATTGGTCTATTTCACTTTAGTTGGTGTTAAATTACCAGATGCTAATTCATTTTGTCCTAACATCAGTTAAATAGTATTCTATGTAAAATGTTTTTTTGTTTTACAGGGACACGATGTTTTGTTGGTTGATACAGCTATAGGCAAGCATGTGGTATGCATGTCCTTCAAAGATAGCTATTACTATTTCCCATAATTTGTTTAGCCCTTTGGTTTGGCTGAAGTTTTGTTTTTCCCCCATATCGATGAGGGTCTTGACATGTTTAATCAGGAGAGCCTTGTATCAAGACTATCAAGAGGTAGCACACAACCCCATGCCTAGAGCGCCGCTGTTTGAATCGTTTTGCCCAGTCCTTCTTTCCTGATATGAGTCAACGTTTCGGAATGTTTAGTCATGTTCAGTACACGTCCACTTTGTCTTCAAATCTTCTTATAGTTAATGATCATAGGGGGCTACAGTACCCAATATATCGGGAATGTTCGGTATCCATACTCTGGGAATGTGGTTCTGAACCAGCCAGGATTCAATGGAATGAGATTTCGGCTTTTGACCGCTGCCCAATTTGGTGGGACTCACAACCCACATGTAATATTAAACATCCCCTTGAAACATCTTGAAACTATGGTTTAGTAGGAGGTTTACACTTAATCTGATTGGAGGTTTGGAACATGAATTTTATGCTTTCATATATTGGAAATAATCATCCCAACTGACGAACTCATATTTTTCAGAGGGGTAGGTATACCACCAAGCAGTAATTATTTAGGATCATTTAGGAGGTGTTTAAAGTTGATGGGATTAACCTACGGTAACGACATGAAAAATGTGGAGGGCGGGCGAGACCGCAACACCCCGGAGGTAGTATGTGTAAACAAATGGAATTCCGTATGTTTAAATGGCCGGGTGGGCCAAGGAAAACCTTCCCGGAGATAGTCTAAAATACCAGTATACTTCAATTTCCGTATACTTAAATGTAGTTACCGTACATATCATCAATAATCATTCATAACCATTAATAATCCATTATTAACCATTATTAAGCATGATTAACCATCATTAACCATCATTAACCATCATTAAATCATCATTAACCATCATTAACCATCATTAACCAGCATTAAATCATCATTAACCATTATTAACCATCATTAACCATCATTAAATCATCATTAACCATCATTAACCATCATTAACCATCATTAAATCATCATTAACCATTATTAACCATCATTAACCATCATTAAATCATCATTAACAATTCTTAACCATCATTAACCATCATTAAATTATCATGAACCATTATTAACCATTATTAACCCATGATTACATATGTGTTCGGGCCTTTTCTTCGGCGCCAGGAGCGCATGGATCGCGTCTTCGACAGGGTGATGACTTCTGCAGGCTTGACCGTGTCCATGGAGGAGTGGCCGCGGACTCAGTATACTCAGCATAGTTACAGTATAAGGTGCGTATGTATACATATATATTTTTTCCCAGCTAGAAACCTCCATTTATAATGGATTTTCCATGGCTATGCTAGTCATAACCAGATGGTACACATAATCTACAATGAATCATACATTGTGAGGCCCCCAAGATAGCGTTCAGTTAGTGCACATAACTCCAATTTCACTATGGTTTATGGTGCGCCAATAACTAGTTACTGGGGCGAATCTAAACCAACTTATAAGTGGGGGGGGGCACATTGTATATATATATAGTTGTAACATATGGATTTATTTATTTAATGTTGTTTATGGTTCTAGAATATGGGGATATGTTATTATATATATACACATTTGTTAACGGGATAAACATCAACTATATTGTTGATGTTTATCCCTTTAACACATATGGGGTAGCTGTTATTTGAGGAAGTAAGCATAACATGTGGTTTCAACAACTTGACATTGGGATCTTTTGGATTTTGAAGTAGAAACCGACGCCGACTTGGCAGTTCAATTACCGCAATTTGTTGTCATACACGGGGATATACTCTAACCAGCTAAACACAATATTTTTGGGCATATGCAAGAGTCTACATTTTACTATATATTTATATATATGTTTCCGTTTTGTGCGGGTTCAACTTCAACGTCACACATTTGTAGTTAAGTTGTGGTATATGGGCTTTATGATTTCATATACAGATATAGTCATAATGGTGAACCTCCCAAAACTGTTGGCGAGATAGAAGGAATCCAAATATTGGTTGAAGGGGGCGCATGATTATATTAAGCAACTAGATTATATGAACATATATATATTAATTAATTAATTAACCAACTATGTGGTTAACCACCTTGTTAACCACTATGGGTACTATTGGTTCTACTATTATTTATGTTATACCGATATATCGACACCTCGCAGCCAGAAAAAAAAAACTGTGCGATGGTCTGAAGACACGAAGGTCTCTTAAAATCAAGTGGGTTCATCATTATTTTCCCGATCAAAAGACATCATTTTGGGTATACCACATTTTCACACAAACCCGTTTCATACCCTTTTTTATAGATTCGCTATTCCTCGTGTATGCACTTGCCGTGCAATGAATTCCACATGCATGAGACGTTGGCAGGGAAGCACATTGTATCTTGTGCTGCTCGCAGCAATATCAGCCATAGAAAGCATGTTGAAGTTTTTGTTCAAACATGTTTGAGTTTTCCACGTGAAAAAAAATGAAACAAAAACATAAATAGAGGGTGGGTGCCCCCCAGTTGTAATTTGGTTTATAACTCACAACTCCCATCAACTAGTTCAATATATCTGCCAAAATACAACTGATAACTGTAATCAGTAGTTATCAACCAACTTAGCAAACATAAATCAACCATGACTCCCCATGTTGGTCAAATCATATAGAATCTCTAGCTTTGCACCAGCTTGTATGGATATCCACGGTTTCGGGTTACCAAGGCTGCAATACGCCAAGACCACTGCACGCATCCTGCGTTTGATTGCCTACAGCAGGGCTTGAGATGATCTAAAAATGTGCCATGACCAGTTGCGAAATGACAAAAGGCCCCATAGGGTTCATGATTGATTTATATTTATTCTCCAAATAAATCGAACACACATGTGGAAAACACGCAAAAACACATGTTGAACATGTAGGTGGAACGTGTTTGTTGATCCAACTTCGCCGTTTTCATCCACAAAAAATGACATGGAACTATTTTCTTTTGATATGACTGTGCCAGTGTTGTCTTCGACAACCAGAGACGACCCTGGCACGATCTCAGACTGCCAATGAGCATTTTCTGATGGGTTCCTGAAGGCTTCCAGCTGCTTAGACATGTGACATGATGAAAAAAGGGCTTGAAATCGCTTGGTAGTCACCCTGTTTTGGGGGGATTTAGTCAGCATGGGAATGTTCACAGCAAATAGAGAATGACTGCACATAATATACATACATACATACATACATACATACATACATACATACATACATACATACATACATACATTCATACATTCCTACATTCCTACATACATACATTCATACATTCCTACATACATACATTCATACATTCCTACCTACCTACCTACCTACCTACCTACCTAGCTACATACCTACATATACCTACATACCTACATACCTGCGTGCCTACGTACCTACGTACCTACATACCTACCTACCTACCTACCTCCATCCATCCATACAGACAGACACACAGACACACACACACACACAGATGCACATACATACAAACATACATACGCACGTACAGACAATCAGACATACATTGCCTACCATATCATAACAAAAAATCTTTGGCCTACCCCATTCTTGCGCAAACCTAAATCCCAAACCAAAACAATTTAGAACTTTTGCTGCGGCTGAATCAGATGAACCCTCTGCTGATTTGGGTGTGAAGCCAGAGCGATATCGAGAAGTGCACTAGACACGAGGGTCCCATGTACTAAGCAACCTCATGTCATGGCTCCTAGCAGCGCACAAGCGTCGCTTGAATGTTGATGCACATTTGATCATGCTGGCAAATATGGAGCGGTCTCTTGTTTAATTTCCGTCAGCGACAGCATAGCATAGCTTCACACCCCGCTGACTTCGTGGTCCTCATAGATCTCATAGCTGCCTGATGAAAAATGACCCTGACTCTAGGCTGGTGATAGAGGTTTCAGAGTTTCAGAATGCAAATTTGTACCTGGAAGATTATACCAGAGAATGGTCCCCATTCATAGGGCTATCCTGGGGCTATCCTACATACAATAGATTTATTATGATTTATTTTATTTAATTTTATATATACCTAGACACCACCAAAAATTGGCTAAAGTACTTGAATCATTATAATTTTGGGGTAAAACAAGATTTATATGTGTACTTGGAGGGTCTACATACATATGGGGGTTTCCCGCATAGGGGTCCCCGAAACCATGGCTTTCAATAGTAAAATATAGAAATTTTGTTTGATTTGGGAAGCCTCCATATAAGTGGGTTCCAACTGCAAATATCTTATATATCCAGTTACGCTTCATTGGGTGATCCTTCAGTCAGGAACATGTAGGAACGAAGTCCCTCAGGAAGGTGATTGAACATGTTTTACAACCCCACCAAACTATATAATATATATATATATATATTCCCTTTTTACATCCATGCACCATATATGTCCTTCTCCTATGTCATACCACTAAGTTGGTTATTGTACTGATAAGTGGGTTCTGTTCTTCGTCACTTCGTGCAGCGGCGACATTGCTGATCGCTTCTGCAGCTTTAGATCCAGATAGATTGCCTATGATTCAAGGGAGGGGCACTGAGGCACAAAGAAGCCGCACAATTGAACACAAAGACACACACGCACACGAGCGCTTATGTGTAAATCGATTCGCTTGAAGGGCCATGTTTTTTTCAACCGGGGCATGCAGTATCATCAGCCACAACCCGCAGGTTTCATGGAATAGCTATAGATGATTCCCACGTCATTTTGGCAGATCACCGCCATGTCGCCACGTGCGCGCGCAACGTTGCCCACGGCCTTCCTCGTCCTGGCGGTCGCCGTCACGAGCCTCGCCTGGCGGAGCCGCGCCGTGAGCTTCGCGGTGCTGACGCCACGGCCGGCCCAGAAGGCAGCCCAGGAGGCCCAGGAGGCGGTCGATTTCAGCCAGATGACTGGGCCTGGGATTCTTCATGAGATGATTGGTACTTCGGCTGAAGATTCTGATGAAAAATCTGAAACCTCGAAATCAGCAAGTGGGACGAAGTATAGAAAAGGTGGCTTTAATATGCTTTAATGATTTTAATATATTTCAATGGGACCATGATCCATACAGCATTACACAACTATTTTTTTCCATTGCCACTGATAAAACTCTGATTTTGATGTGGTTGAAGCCAATGCCAGTATCGTCACCATCACAATTTGGGATTATGAAATTGGGAAAACAATCCCCATCGTCATGGGATGATTTTTTGCATGACACCCAAATTAACGTTGCTTAACGTGATGAGCTACTTGGTGGCTCATCCCACGGCTCGTAAGTGGGTTATAACCCCAGTTATAAATGGGATAAGTAGGGTTAATCCACTTTAACTGGGGTTATAACCCACTTACTAAGTGGGATGAGCCACCAAGTAGTATTGTTTTTGCCACATGTCATGAAACAAAACATGTCAATAAGGCAGACGGTAAAATGATGTAAAATGTTTGTGTCAAGCCAAGGGTTGAGCCAACATTTTGAGAAATAAATTGGTGAATGATTAACAAGCAATGGCCGAGGATTTGTAACCGGTGCTTGTTTGATGGGGGTTTGATCCTTGCCATTTATTGGGGCCTCAATCGCTATGCATGAGGGCAAACGATCCACTGTGAGCAATCAGTATGAGACTATGGTTTCTTGTTTTCTGACAGTGGGATAGAGTAGGTATAAATGTAAAAAAAATACTCAGAGAATATAGTATAACATAATGAATGCCATTTGATATAATGTATATTATAGTATGATATAATGTAATAACAAATACATCTACATAGATGTATATATATACTATTTGAAAACATGATATAGCATTGGAAGCCGGATGTAGCTAGGGCACTGCAGCAGCTGCCCAGGCGAGTATGCTTTGCCAAAACCTGTGGTCCTATCACCCCATGGTCAACTGCGAGTGCAAGAGGACCTGGGAGTGAACGTCACTGAATGATATGCTTTCAATATTTTGCATGTTTTTCTGTATTTAACAGTTCGCCATGGAACATTGCCATATAATGCCATATATATAGTATGGTAAATCATCTACACATTGACCATTTCCAGGGCTACAGTATGTTAAATTACCAGAGGGTATGATATACTTGTTGTTGTCCCAAAGATGATGATCCCACTTGACGCTAATCGCACAATTGGCTTTGTTTGAAAAATAGGTACTGCCAATTCCAGTGAAATATTCATACATACAAGGTGGTACCCCCTAGTTATAAATTGGTTTATAAACCCCATTAACTATAGATATATCACTGATCACCTATAAACTATAGTTATTGGAGTTATAAACCAACTTAGCTATCTAGGGGGCACCACCTTGTATTCATTATCCGCATTAAACTGATCAGTTTTTGGGGGGTCTTCTCCGGTTTTCAGACACCCAATTGGTTCAAGGTCACATTGAGTCCTTGCACCCATGCTTTTTTGCAAGGGCCATCACATCCGATTTTCCTTTCCAGCAACTCACTGACTCTTCACAATATTCCATAATGTAATAATGTACTGTAATTCCATTAACACATTAAGATCCCATATTAAAATCCCTTGAAATCCCATCAAAATCTGAAAAGTTGGATGGTTTTTGTCCAGCAATCCCTTGATATTTGTGTGGTCGCGTTGAAAATGACCAGGTCACAGTCGTTGGAGACGAGGCTTACATCGTGTCCCCTCAACATTGGTCCAACTATCGTCCCTTGGGCTTGGTGGAAGAGACGTACCTGCGAGACATGGAGGGCGAAACGGTGAGCCACGAGGAAAATCCGGGCATTCGCGTTGAACCTGACTTTGTGTGCCTGGATGGGTCAAAAAATGGAGGTTGCTAAACTGGATTGTTTATTATTATTATTAGCAAATGAAGAATTGTTTATTATTAAAAAATGGATTGTTTGTTATCCATGGATTTATAAAAATTGATTGTTTATAAATTGGAAAATCTATCAACATCTTATTATTCATGATGTGGAGGTATCCCATTTTGGAAAACTCCACATATCTGGGTCAACCGACTGGTTAGATACGAACTAGTACAATTTAATCTTTTTCTATAAATCAATGGTAAGTTTAGTGCTAACCAGCGAAAAAAAAACAAAAATAAAACCGGTTTTTTTGCTCAGATTCAGCGTGGAATGGATTGATTTACATGGAGCAGTGGCTGCTACACCCTGATGGGCCCCTGGTTGGGTGAGCCAATGGATGCTTAAGTGGTCATTTAACGGACATTTGAATCATCATTTATAACTTACAATGTGAGGCCCCCAAGATAGCTATGTTGGTTTATAACTCCAATAACTATAGTTTATGGTGCTTATAACTATAGTTACTGGGGCTTATAGACCAACATATAACTGGGGGGGCCACGCAATCAGCACAAATATGGGGATGAATTCTTGATAACTGATGGAATGGGTTCAAGGTGATGCTTGACTCATGTTGTGGGAAAGCTAAGAACAGAGCATCCCATTCACCCACCACTGGGGGCCATAGTAAACATTTTTCAGATCCTCGAGGGTTCGTGCAATTGTTCTCATCCTGCCATGTAGTCTTGGGGATGGTCGTTGGGTTAGACATAACCATAACTTATGTGGTTGGTGGTTTCAAACATTTTATAGTTTCCATAATATATGGGATAATCCCCCCCATTGACTAATATTTTTCAAGATGGTTGGTTAAAACCACCAACCAGTTATGTGTACAAGTGTGTGTGTGTGTGTGTCTTGATTTGGAAATTCTGGCGAATGAGCATCCTCTTCAGATTCAGATATCGCATATGATGATAATCTGTCGCATGACAAGATGTAATATCTGAAATCATGAATATGTACAAGTCATGGTGCCACCCCAGCTCAAACATGTATTATCTATTATACCAGTATAAATGTGAGTTAGTTTATGTTAGTTCGATATCTCTATAGCATAAAACCCAAGAATTTAATTGGAGCTCAGTCACCTGGACCCACATTTTTTTTCACATGATGGTCTTGATAAATGTGTGTTTTCCCCATGGTCTTTTTACATATCCGAAGATTCTATCCCCGTGAAAAAAAACATACCCTCTAGTAAACATACAAAAAGGTATGGACAATCACCATTTTTAATGGGTAAATCAACTATTTCAATGGCCATTTTCAATAGCTTTTTGTATGTTTACCAGAGGGTAAACTCCCTAATCGATCATAAAATCTTTTGAAATCTCATCAAATCACCATTAAATCTCAATGATTTGCCCAAGAGGGTTGAAATCGGTTGAAACATTGGGATTGGATCATACTTTTTTTCAGGTTCGTTTCTGATATCCCCATGACATCCGCATAAAAACCAGCAAAATCCCTTGGTTTTCGCCTCACAGGTCAGAAGCAGAAGAGGATCATATCATGGCCGAGCTGATCGAATTGGCTTCGACTTTTGGAAGCTCGCCGCTGTGGGGAACGTGGATTGAAAAATTCAGTGTTTTCCTGGTGCAAAATACCGAAAGATCATGAACTATACAATTTATATAATAGGAAAGTGTGGTTTCAAACATTTGGTAAACTAACATAGCTATGAAACATGAATAAACATGAACTATCCTCTGGTAAACTAACATAGCTATGGAAAATCACCATTTGGAATAGGTAAATCAACTGTTAATGAGCCATTTTCAATAGCTATGTTAAATTACCAGAGGGTATATAGTTTATATGATAACAAAATGTAAGATATATCAAGATACAGCAATATATTGTTCAGAAGGGGTGGCCGATTTGATCCTTTCTGACTTTCTGAAGAGAAGTTGAAGTTCAATATCCCGTGCAAGATATTGTTCAGAGGCAATGGGATATTTGATCCCTCATGAAGATAAGTGGTGGGCGAACGTGCGGGTTGGAGACTACATGTTTGTATATATATATATATATATATATACACGTTTATATACATATAATATTTATCCACATATTAAATATGTATATATATATATATATTAGATACTCTAACCATGTTGCTATTCCGTGGAGCCCCGCTGCACGTCACCCCAGGCTATGACTTTGCCGCGGAGGAGGAGGCTGCTTCCTCCGCGTCGTGGAGAATGACGGGCCGCGATGAGAAGAAAACGGACCTTCCGTTGGCCCCTTGGGGATGGGGTACCTTGACGGGACTCATGGTGACTTAACCATGGTTGAACCAATGGTTGTAAGATGGGGAAAACTACCCTCTAGTAAAGTAACATGACTATGGAAAATCACAATTTTCAATGGGTAAATCCACTACAAATGGTCATTTTCAATAGCTATGTTAAATTACTAGAGGGTATGATGGGGATCAAAAAAAAAAATATATATATATCTGCTAAGTGTCACTGGAACGTCACTGGAATGATGCTTATTTTATTGGAGGAATTGTCCCCAAGTTGCCCTAACATTTCAGCTATTTTCAGGTTTGCACATGTGTGCCGCCTTAGCCCGCGGGCAGGGGTGGTGCACACCTTTTTATCAAGTTGTTTTTTCAGGTTAGTGAATTATTCCATTTCGGCCAGATCGTTGGTTGGAATTGTGTAAGGAGAATCGTTTAAACAATGAGTTGTTTTTCAGCAATGAGCTTAATATGTTTCTTGTCATTGGATACATTAAATAGTGCGGATGTAATACAGGACATATTGGGGATATAATAGGAATATCAATCTTTTGGATCTACAGGTAATTATTGATGAATTGATTGTAGAAAACCCATTGATGATGGGGAGATACTGGATAAACAAATGGTATACAATGGGAACATGATGGTAATATTGGGGATATTACGTATGGTGATTAATTGAGTACTAATAACCGGTATAACGGTAATACATGACACTATCTGAGAACAGCTACACAAAAAAAATATGGCCATTATGATGGAGACATACGAATAGCAAACGAATGGGATTTAATGGGAATTAGAATAGCAAAATTAGGGATATTTCGGATGTAATGGGCATAAAATGTTGTATTTAATAATGTAATGGGGATAGTGATATATAATGGGGATATAAACTAATGAAACATGGGGCATCTTGATGTTAGATGAGAAACCAACTCAATTGTTTGCAATAAATGGAGATACATACTGCAGGAGCCAGCAAGAACAACCATATTTTTTGCAGGGTATCTATGATTGGCCATTGATTGGTTGCCCGTGTAGTTGGAGTCCGTCGGAGTCTTTGCAGATATGAAGCTGTTTTTGTTGCTGATTGCTGGCGAAGAAAATCCATCAACAACAAAATGTGACTGTTGGATAATAAAATTTGGTTCAATCAAGTTTACCCTCTGGTGTCCTCAAACTTGGCTAGCTGGAAATTTTCCCCCCACTAAACGGTGGTTTAAATCATCTATAAAGTTCACGATTTTCCCCTGGCTAACTATGGATATAGCACCCCATAAACCCTAGTTAACCACGTGATGTTTTTTTCAACTTAGCTACCGTGTTTACGGGGGCTTCTGACCATATAGCTGCCCATAGCTCCAGGTAAAGACTTTCATGAAAGTAAGCTCCCCAGCGGCCTTCGCTCGGTGGTAGAGAAGCTGCAGTCCTTACCTGGCTACCCCTTGGGTCCGATCCGTGACGTTACGGTGAACATCCGCTCCAGTGATGACTATCAGACGCCTGGGCGGTGATTCTGATTGTGCCCCAGTGAGCTAAGAATCGCCAACAAGTTGGCTTGGAGGCTTCAAGAACAAAGTGATGTTTATGGTAGACATATGGAGGTTTCCTAAAATGGGGGTACCCCTAAATCATGCATTATCAAGGGATTTTCCATAGTAAACCATCCATTTGGGGGTACCCCCATTGTAGGAAACCTGATATGGGGATTTCTTAAAATGAGGGATCCCCAAGAATGAACATTAAAATATTAATATGGAGAATCCCACATGTTTTTTTTATCATTTTCCTAGGGAAAGCCGAAAGCCTAAGTCTTCCATTTGTACATTAATCTCCTGAGTCTATTGGAGGGTCTATTTGCGTGTTTTGCACATAAGTTGGTTGTTCTATTGTGTTCTATTGCCATTATATGCGAGTATATTCATCTATATCATATCCATTTCTATCTAATTATATCCCATCATTTCATTTACCAAAATTTTGGAAACAAATTTAAATTTGATTCCGAGACATGTTTAAACACAATCGCAATATAATAGACTGTATATATATAACCATATGTTGTTGGAATTCCATCTTTACCTAATATTGTTATCCTATTGTCCGAAACGGATATTTCCTGAAATGAGGGTACAACCCAAATCATCCATTTTTTTGTGGCACTATCCATTATAAACCATCTAGGTATTGGGGTGCCTCTGGCTTTGCTGCCCAGGATGGTGCCGCATGTAGATCCCCTTCTAGATGGTCCCAACAGCTGCTGGACGTGGGGAGAAAGGGGGCCACATTGAGTGCCGGTGAGGCCATAGGCGGCCATAGGCTTCAAGGTGTTACATGGGAGTTGTTGGTTTCACATGTTGAAACATGAGTTGAAGCTCACCATCAGAGCGAGGTAGAACCTGGGCAAGTTATATGGATTTAAGCACAGAAAATTGGATATGAGATATATGTCATGGTGTAATGGGAATATTTTAATCATGGGATATGTCATGGTAAAATCCGACTACTAGTCAGGACTTTTTTAAGAAGGATTTCAGCCATTTTCGTGAGAAGAGATTAGGATTTACCCCATTTACCCATGAAGTTCCAGGATAAAACTGGTATCCTGATGGGGGATATCACGGGTTTACCATGATCATCATGGCTTCCAGGGATCGGATTTGGGGTTGAACATGGGCCCAGTTACTCAGTTGGGCCTTCTGAAATGTGGTTGTCTCCGGAAACCACCGGGGATGGTACACAGAAGAAATGGCTTCTACCCCCAAATCGGGAATGAGATAAATGTAATTATCATATTATCGAAGGAACTTTAGAAGTCAAACTTCTGACAATATGGACAGATGGAAAAGCAGAGATGGGAGGAGTCAGAGAAGAGAAGAGAAGAGAAGAGAAAAATAAAGAAGATCAAAGAAGAGAAAGTCAGAAGAAAGAAGATGCAGGTGCGCGAAAAGGTAGGAAAGTCGCAATGATTTGTGGCTCCGGAGGGTCGAAAAGTAGGCTCGCTAAAGCGGCAGGTGCGGAGCCATCTGGCCAGATGAGAGATGAAAAATTGCACGCCGTTGTGGCGCGAAGCACATGTCGAAGTCAAAATGTACAAAACACCTCCGCTTCGGAGCACTTTTAGAAGTTGTGATGTCGAAAAAGTGCACGCCGTTGTGGCGCGAAGCACATGTCCAAGTCAAAATGTACAAAACACAGTTACCTGACCACTTTTGGAAGTTGACATGTCGAAAAAGTGCACGCCGTTGTGGCAGGAAGCAGATTTCAAAGTCAAAAGTGAACAAACAACTGAGGGGTCCGGAGCACTTTTGGACGTTCAGATGTCGTTTTTGCGTGGTAGGCAGAAGGGATTGTGCACCTTGTCAAGAGTGAACAAAACGAAAGGGTTTTGTAGCAGTTTCGAAAACGATGGCAGGTGTGGGACATTTGAACAGGATCTGCAAAGATGCATTTTCCGGGGCAGGCGCAAAACAAGAGACATGTTCATCAGAGATGTTAGGAGGTCAGGGCGCTGATTTCCTGAGAGGGGTTGCACTTTGGAGCATGAGATCATCAAGTTTGCTAAGATGATTTTGCGTGACTTGCGTGACAGGTGCAGGACTTCGTGTGATCTGGCATCACTTCTGCGTGGCAGGCGCAGCACTTTAGACAGATGGATTGGAAAAATCGCAAAACGCATTGGTGCGAGGCCGTCAGCTCTGCCATCAACTTTCCAGGAAGTCTCGCAGAATTGCTTCGTTTTTGAAATTGCCAATTTCAAAAATTGAGGAAGTCTCCCAAAATTGCTTCGTTTTGACGTTGTCAAGTTCAAAAATTGAGGACGTCTCGCAGAATAGCTTCGTTTTCAAGCTTGCAGATAGATAGACAGAAAGATAGCTAGATAGACATACAGACAGATAGAGAGATAAACAGATAGATGGACAGATAGGTCAACAGATAGATAGACAATTGCGACTACACTACAACTACAGCTGCAGCTGCAGCAACAACTACAACTACAACTGCGCTGCAACTGCAACTACAACTACACTACAACTACAATTTCAACTACAACAACTACCACTACACTACAACTACAGCTACAACTACAACTACACTTCAACTACACTTCAACTAAAACCGCAGTTGCAGCTACAACTACAACTACTATTACTACACAACACTACAACTGCAAGTGAAACTACAACTACAACTAACACTACACTACACCACACCACACTAGGCTACGACTACAAGTACCACTACCAGTAATCTACACCACAACTACCACTACCACTACCGGTAAACTACACTACAACTACAACTACAACTGCAACTACAACTTCAGCTACACTACAACAACAACAACAACCACTACAATGCACTACACTTACACCTACAACTACGACTACGACTACAACTACACTACAACTACGTACAACTACACTAGAACTACAACTACAACTCCTACAACTATTTCAATTACTACAACTACATTTTCACTTACACTTCAACTACTGCTAAATGCCCCATTTTCCGACAAAGATGTTTTCCCTTTCCTGAATCAGTCACATGATAGTTCAACAGATAGAGGCAACCTCTACAGCCCAAGTCACAAGTTGATTTATGAACCAATCCAACTACCTAGACCCTCCAAGTACCCATAAACATCCATAAACATATGTAAGCATTGTATTTTAGGCATTCTTAGGCAATAATTTAAATATCGTACCATTTTTGATGGGTTCATGAGGGTCTAGGTATAGATATCTTCGCCACAGGCTTTGTACTATCTTTGCTCAGCAGCGCTGTGGTCACGTTTTCGCCCATTGCGACGTTGAGAACAGAAATTGAGCGGGCCAACGACGACGAGTCACTCGTCAACCATGCTGAATTAGATTACTGTAACCAAACTAAAAATTGGTCTACCTCTATTGCGGGGTTAAAACAATAATAAACTACCCATTTGGGAATGGTTTATATTACCTATTGGTGTGACCAAAATGTGTGCAATAAAGACACGCCTATTGGACCCGGGATTCAAAAAATTACCAAGAGGACTCCGGGACGGGCCTGAAAGTAACCGAGATTTCACAAGGATTTTGGTCCAAAACTACAGGATAGCCTAAAATTTGCATTTGTTTTGCAGAAAATGATGCTAATTTAATGATAAACCATTGGAGTCAGGAACAATTAGCAACATTAATAAACATTTTTTAGATAGACCTTGATTCGAGTGTGTTGGGGCTGACAAGCATCACAGGAGGCCAGACTCTGTTGGGTCACGGAAAAGAGATGGTACACATGACAGAAACGTTGAAGGGGAAACTCCAAAGGCAGGTAGACAGGATTTTCTGAATTTACCTAAGATGTGTTATATTCATATTGTTTATATATAGGGGTTGGTAAATGTCCCATGTTGGGAATTGTGAATGATATCACTTGAAAACAAAATAAAAATATCTGTTGGAGAGGTTATTATATCCCCAATAGTTGGGTTATGTTTAATTAGACCATTTACCAAAGCCATGATATAACCCACCATTGGATTGCTTTAGGTGTTACATGCTTCTAGCGAGCACATTCCTGATGTTTGTGTCCTGTGCGTCCACGCATGAAGTGTGGAAGCTTTGCAATCTACCACTCTACTGATCATGATGATGCAAGGATCGACATATCTCGAAATTATACTGATTGCACTGTTGGGGTGTATCTTGAATTTAGTTGCCTTGCATGCTCATCAATCAATTGGAAATTCAAGCCTCATGTTGGTCATGTAACCTCTTTCAGGGTTGCCCCAAGCCAATATATAGGTAACTTATAATCACAAGGGGGAAGGAAATCGCTAATCTAAGTTTGCCCTCAAAGTCTATCACACAACTGGAACCATTTTTTTCTGCCAAACATATCCCTAATATTATGATTCTATATCGTTCTATCTCCATGTAATTACCGTTATATAAAACATATCCCGATCATCTTTCGTCATGATTACAATCGGGATTTACATATTGCCCATTCTGTTCGGATGATGACATTTTTTTTTGCTGAGGCAATATGCTCAGCACTCTTACACTGACGACGACATCGATTGTTTGGTTCCCAGACGTGCCATCTACCACTTCGCGGGTAACGCCAGATACCTTTGGACCCATGCTGTGCGGCCCTCCGTTTCGGCAGGAGATGGGACAGATGGAACCTTTGAACGCTGGGGCACCTGGGATAAAGTCTTGAGAAGAGAAAAGAAGCTGGGACAGCAATAGTTCGAATGCTCATCCCAGTAGCTAGTCCATAACTTATATAAGCAAAAGATACCAAAGGTATAAGTTTATTAAACCCTATTAAGCCTATTTATCTCAATAACAAGATCAGGGATATAAGCTACTTAGTAAGTGGGATGTACCAAGTGACCCTCCGGTCAAACATGGCTGAAAAATCCCCGAAGTCGCCATGGAGTCCCATCGAGCTTTGAATCGGAAACGCAGAACTGGTTGGTGGTTTCAAATATTTGTTATTTTCCATAATATATGGGATAATTATTGAATACAACAAATATTATGGAAAATAACATGGGAAGGATTATCCCATTATTTTTATGGGAAGGATTATTATCCCATTGACTAATACAGTTTTTAGTTTCATATTCACGTTATTTTCCATAATACCCTCTGGTAAACTGTTACATAACTATAGAACATCCACCCATTTTGAATAGGTAAATCAACGAACTAAATGGGGTATTTTCAATAGCTATGTTAAATTACCAGAGGGTATATGGGATGTCATCCTTCCCATTGACGAACTCATATTATTCAAGATGGTAGGTATACCACCAAGCAGATATATATATATATATATATATAAAATAATCCACCAGATAATCCACTATTAACCATCATTAACCATTGTTAAACCCATCATTTTCCCATATTCACCAGCATAAAGAACAGCTAGACAAACATCATGATTAACCATTATTAACCATTGTTAACCACCATTAACCACCATTAATGGTCATCAATGGTGACACTTTCCATTGCCATGGTTTCCTTACTGGAGAGTTAGCCGTTGCAACGGGTGCACCACCTTGGAACCTTGGAACCCTCAACTTCGACGGCGACGGGGGCCACATGGGCCACGGCCCATTGAGTTCGTTGATTTTACGTATAAAAAATGGTGATGTTCCATAGTTATGCGAACGTTTACCCGAAGGAATGTATGGATATGATTGGATATGATTGGATATGTTTTATCTCTTCCAATCTATCTAAGATTAGCCATGAACGTTTGAAGGATTCATTTACATCACACCATTCACCATTATCTGTTTTTTTTGGATGTTCAAGAGGGTTGTAATGGGTTTTTGACACATTCCCAGTTGTCGCAATGAAGTGGATCAGAGTTTTAGACTATAGGGAGCATTGGTTTTGGTAACTCAAAATCCGTTGTATCCAAAAAAACTGATGTTGGACGTAATTACTCAAATTCGACCAGTTTAAGTATATTACGGTTTTTGTCAAGATATAGGACCACTCAGAAACCAAGTGGTTTGATATGTCTAATCCACACAAGGTGAGGCCCCGCAGTTATAAGTTAGTTTTAAATCTCAGCAACTATAGTTATATTCCCCCAATCAACCCTAAAAGTTGGCCCTAGTTGCAGGAAAGTCTGACAGCTGTGTGTCAAGGTATTGTAACTGCCGGTAATTCAACATAGCTTTGGAACATGTCCCATTTATAGATTATTGAAATTAATTTGATGTGGGCAAAAACTCACCATAAAAAACGGTGGTAGTTTTATAGTTTTACCATGTTTTACCATTCCCAGTCATGGGTTCATGATTGTCCCACATTAATCTAACTTGCATTTATTTTGCTTGAAACAGATGTTCTCCCACGACTCAGGAATCGCGCAGCCATTATTTTTACCTTTGCAGATCCTATGTGACGTTGCGTGGACGATCGAGCAAAAAAACGATCAATGGGGACATCATGGGTGGAGGCTTCCTAAAGGGGTGGTGGGTAGCCCAGGGGCCCAGATCATCCAAAATCTAAGTGTTTGGATAATATAAACATTGGAACATGTATATAATTTTGGATGATATTATGTACATGAATTAGCCCAGGGGCCCAGATCATCCAAATTTATTTACATGTATATTCTGTAAATTATGTACATGTAAAGTATTGAAACATCTTCAGATTTGGTGATCCCCCATGTTAAGAACACCCCGTTTGATGGGTATTGTTTAATGAATAATATATGATCAAAAGGTATTTGCTGGGATGATGAATCTAGGGCTGGATGTTCAACGCTGGCAGTAGTTAGGAATGCTGTCTTTGAGGGGGGTTGGACTTGGATGTTCGCGGAGCTGATCAATCTGAGGAAAGGATGGGGCCCCCGTTCGAGCTCGCGTTCAGTTGCCGAAAAAAAGTGGCTGAATTCTATGGTTTATGGTAGACAAAACAAATAAGTTAATGGGGTTATAAACCAACATATATCTGTGGGGGGCACCATCCTGTATTGTCCTTGTCATTTTCACCCGAGATTGAGGACCATCTACAATGTGGTGCCCTCGTTGATAGCTAAGTTGGTGAGCACAACTCCAAAAAAACTGTTGGACACATGGTAGATATATCATGATTTTTCTCTATATTATTCTATAGTTAATGGATATCACTGTTATTATATGTTTTTATAATTCATTGATATTTGGTAATTAACTATAATGATTTCATTATTTTTAATGGAATAAACAAAGCAGCAACGAAGATCACTGTGGTGTCCAAACGGGACCCCACCATGTAGGTCTGGGTAAATTTCACCACGACCGAAGCCTGTTCTCCAGAGCCCTGGAATCATGGTTTATTTCGGGGAAATCATCCACTTTAATGGCCGCAAGATTCAGGTTGGTGAATTATTACTGTGTAATTTACCCAGATAGATGTATGATGATGTATGATGTGTATATATATATATGTATATAAATATCCATCCACGTATTCACTTTGAGATTGAAACCACTGAACAGTAAAGCCCTATGTCATTGTCTTCCAGCAGAATACTTTTTGATTGACTTGTCTTTCACTCCTTTGAAAGTCAATAGAAACAGTTGGGTTCAAGGCCTTCATGTCAGGATTCATAAGCTTGACAGTTGGTGGAGAGCATTTAAATATAAAAACATGATATTCTTCGAACATTGTGATGCTCCACCAGAATTGAAGAAGCTTAGAGACTTCAGGCACTGGATTCACAGAGACTCATGATCTTTATGTATATATATATATAATATATATACACCATACAGTACTTCAAAGACCCATGGCAGATTTCTAGCAATATCATTTTTTGTTCGAGACAGCACTCATAATTAGCGCAGGATAATGTCGTCAAACAAAGCCTACTTCGTCTACACAGACTTGGGTGAGGATAAAAATAATGTTTTTTCTGTGAGTTTTCTTTAGATCTTCCCGGAAATCCATTGATTTCTGGCCGTTCTTCGTGTGTCATGCGCGGAATGTTGATGCGGAGCACCTTGCACCAGTCGCTGCTCCTTGCGGGTGCAGCGGTCTTCGCAGGTGCCGCGGTGGGTGTTTGGAAAGATCTCCCAGCTGCATAGGCTGGGGGTTTCAATGGATGTATACCCTCTGGTTATGTCAAAATAGCTATTGAAAATGACCATTTATAATGGATTTTCCCATTAAAAATGGTGATTTCCCATAGTTATGTTAGTTTACCAGAGGGTAACTGGTTGGTGGTTTGGAACATTTGTTGTTTTTTTCCATACATTGGGATTAATAATGCCAACTGATAATATTTTTCAGAGAGGTTGAAACCACCAACCAGATAAATATGAAAACTCACCATGTTTAAAGGGTAAATCAATAAATGAACTATGATTTGCCATTTTTAATAACTATGGTTAGCTATGTTAGTTTACCAGATGGTAATATATGTGTAATACAGTATTATATTTTTATATAGCTGGATGAGTTTATCGAACATTGATAGTGGTCTTTACGTTCATCATTTATCTAACCTTGACCTCAACAAGAACTGTTGCATGAGGGTAACAAATCATAATTGCGCGTTCAACTATAGATATATCAAACTGCAGAATTAGGCTACTTTATAACCAATTCACCTTTTTTTCCTGCGTAAGTTCAGACATCATACGAATAGTATATATTTCTACTATATCCCATCATGTATCTCGGATTTATTCCAATCCCCGAGGATCCAAAGTATGGACTATTTGCATGCATTTGGGTATGGACGCTCTCAGAGCGTCCGACCATGCTATTTGCGGTCTGACCATGATTTTTGCATGCATTTCCGACAGTTTATTTTCCGATTGATTTCCGATAAATTCCGACAGTCTATGGGGAATAGCCGCTGACCTTGTCACGGTTTGTCATTGTCTGTCACGGCGTTTTCCGACAATGCCCAAGATTTAAGTATAGTTTTTTGTCTTCTGTCACGGTTCGTCACGGTTTGTCACGCAACATGTTAGGCAATTTGAAGCCAATATGAACCTTTTCCGATAACATGCAATCTCCGACTTTTACATTTCGACAATGCGTGCGCTATTTGCGATCATCAGAAATGACTTCATTATTTGCATGCATTTCCGATTTGACCCTATTTATGCGCATGGATCCTCAGGGAATGTTACATAATGCATATGTTTCACCAATAATATACTCATTACTTACATCTCCATTGTAACTATTTCACCATAATCTGCATGGTTACATCCCACTGTATCAAATATCCCCATGAACTATCCTAATGTTTGCTGATTAAGTCCAATTTTTGCTATTAAGTGCCAGTAAGACAAACCGGAAAAAAACAAAAAACAAAAACATGTGCCCCGTAGCCACGTCGCCCCGTAGGTTCCGCTTGGTCTTTCTTGCGCTGGTGGAAGCAACGCGCAAAGCGCTCTGCACAGCATGCCATCACTGCACTCTTCGCACAGGTTCAGGCGATGAACAAAGGGATTGCCATGGCGTCTCAGCAGCGATATTTTTTTGTAGGTCCAGGAATCAAACATGTGAGTGTCTGAAAATGGGCTCTACCCAGCCATATGGCCTTTTGAAAGGAAACTTATAATGATACTCTGGTACACCATAGGATTTTTGGGGACCTTGGGGAAGGGTATCTATTTTGGCATCCGTATTTTGGTAGCGAGAATAGCATGAAATATAACCTGTTGAACTTATTATGTGGCAAGCTGTTGATTTTATGGTGATTTAACCACCAAATATGGTGATTTTATGGTGTTTTATGGTGATTTAACCACCAAATATGGTGATTTTATGGTGATTTATGGTGATTTAACCACCAAATATGGTTATTTTATGGTGATTTATGGTGATTTAAGCACCAAATATGGTTATTGTATGGTGATTTATGGTGATTTAACCACCAAATATGATGTCTGGATGGTTTGACAACTAAACATATGGGCACTTTATTAAGTCTGCCGGGCACCGGGCCTGTTCCGATCGTCTCTGATTGGATCAAAATTTGGGCGAAACTTTAAAAAACAATGGAACACATATGATTCTGGGTAAATTATAACGACCTCACTGCGACCTCACTGGAAATCATAGGTAATAAGGGGAATCATCCCCAAATGGCCTTAATTCAGGTTAGTGAAATATTAAAATTTGCCCAGATGATTTTGAAGAATCAGGAAAATCAAAAAAAGTGCGTTTTGACAAGTTTCTTGATTTTTCTGATTTCGAGAAATCATCAAAAAACATAGGTTTGTTGATTCTCTTTAAAATCAATAATTCGATGTTTTTTCTTCACCTGCCAGGTGAGGGTTGCTTGATGGTTCATTGGTCACGAAACAGCTTTGTTTGATGGGATGGGAGATTGGAGTAGATTTCCGTCCAAGTTGCCATCTAGTAATCAAACATGGCGTGCCGGGACATATATACATATATATATATATATTATATAATTATATATATATGTATACATATATCCTCAAAGATCCAGTTGTAGTAATTGATTTACTTGTATAAGATATTTCCCTTAATCCGGAGATGCATCTATTGACTATGTTCCTGGCAAGAATTGGGATATTCCCATAGATAGATGACTAGAGGGTTAATTTTCTGTGCGCTCTTCACTAATGAAAGAATTATAAACTATATACTCACAATGGCCGGCATACAGCATACAATATATATGTATATATGTATGTGTACACACTTTGGAGATATTGATAGAGTATATTCGCCCATACTATTCCATATACGCAAAATCCATATATAAACTGGTAAACTAACAGTTTGCTTGGGAAATCCCCATGTTTAGAACGGAAATCATCGAACTAAATAGGCCATGGCTTCCAGTCGCGAACTCTTAGTTGATCAAAGGATACATACCCACTGATACCACCATTAGTAGTCCATTAATGTCCAATTATTCATGATTCATCCATGATTCTTGGCTATTTTCCCATTCACCAGCATTAAGCAAATGCTTATCCAACGGCTTTAACAATCCTCCTTTTTTTTCCATATCTCATATATTTTACCGTTGACAATACTGGATACCCTCTGGTAATTTAACATAGCTATTGAAAATGACCATAGAAATAGTGGATTTTCCCATTAAATATGGATGGATCTTTCCATAGTTTTTTGTATGTTTACCAGGCCGGGTATCCCAAAATCCCAAGCAATTCCAGAGATGTTTTCCAACCCATGCAGTGGATATCCCATCCCAACCAGCCACCGGCTCCCTGAGGTGGTCTCTGATGCCACGTCTTCCAACTTCAGCGTCCGAAACCTGTCCAAGTCTCTTGGATCGCGGATGTTGGTTGGATCTTTGAAAAGATACCCGGCCTGGTCAACAAACATACAAAAAACTATGGAAAATCATCATATTTAATGGGAAAATCCACTATTTCTACAAGGTGGTGCCCCAGTTCGTTAGCTAAGTTGGTGAACATAACTCCAATTTCACTATGGTTTATGGTAGATATAACGAACTAGTTAATGGGGTTTATAAACCAACTTATAACTGGGGGGCACCATCCTGTAGCTATTGAAAATGGCATTTAACATGGCCATTTATAGTTGATTTACCGATTTACCAATTAAAAAAGGGTGATTTACCCATCTACAACAATATAACATGCTAAAAAAAATGAAAAACTACTTACCAATATTGGTAATATTGAGAATATTGAACAATATTGATATTATATTTATATATTATTGATAATATTCACAATAGTAATGTTGTGTGTTAATGTTAATGCTAATATATGCTAATTTATAATATCTTAAAATTGCAATTACAGTATTAATTAATTAATTAATTTATTTATTTATTTATCTACATGGACATGCACACATAAATATATATATATATAGTCATCCTGGAGTAGATAGAATGTGGACATGTTAGAAAATCGTTACTAAAATGGGAATATGTTTGAACAAAGTCTATTTGCTTCAGGATGATTATACCTGCATATACAAATGTATATACTATGTCGTGATATGATTCTATGTTTATGCTTTACCATTGTACACTGCACTATACTATACCACACTATGATAAGACTATAATGTAATGTAATACCATAATATATCAAAATAAAACACGAAGCTAGAATACTGACAATATTGATAGTATTAACAATACTGATAACAATTAATTGTGTGTGCTGTATATGTATGCACGCGCAATGCCGGTTTTTGCCCTTTCATTGTGTGTTGAGAATCTTGCGTCGGGTTGTCATGTCGTTCGGACGTTCGTTGGTTGCTCTGATTGGTACGTAGGTTACATGGTCATTTTTTTCTGTAGAACGTTGTGACGGCAGAGAATCTACGCATACTGAGCCAAAGCTTCTTTGTCCTTTGCGGGGAAGGGGCTTGCCACTGCAAGTCTGCTGATGCCACAAGTCGTAGCTCCGCTACTGTTAAGGGGTGAATGCACCATCCATTCAATCGCTCACAGGATTTCAAGGGAAATTTACATGAACCCGTCATGAACCCCCTTGTATTGGGTAAACATCCTTGTGTACAATTTCCTGCAGACCGCATAGACCCTGAAAGCTGAACTTGGGCATCCCCTTGTGCGGGGCACGACCATATCCAACTTGCCAACTTGTACATGGGATATACCATATACTGTAATATAATGTATATAATTTATCTAACAAATAAAATCAAAGTAAACTATGGCTCTGAAGAGCCATCTTAAGTGAAACATGGCTCTCTTCAGAGCCCACTTGGCGAGTCGAATCGTCGAACCCTGGATGCTCCCAGGTATCTACTTCAACGTGGACTATGTCCAAGTAACGACTTGTTCAGAGATGCCAAAGTGCTTCTCAGCCTGCTTCAAGATGAAGCCAGCGAGAAGATGCTCGGTTTGCATGCGGTGATCATGCTGATAGTATCATATGGTGATATAAATAGGATATAATGAGGTTAAAGCAAGTTTAAACCATCTATTTGGGAATGGTTGATACCGGATATTTATTGTTCTTTGTATGGTATATTATTAGTTATTCAGTTCTTGTTTTACCCACATTAATGGTGATATAATGATGATGGCTAAAATTGGAATTCAATGAGGCATAACTTCAGGTTTATCCGAAGGGGTTTACTCTCCCGTGTGTAGCCCCAGTTTGACTTGCCAAACAGGGTACGCCGAAGGGGCCGAAAGGGGCTACAAGGCAAGGATGCGCGTTGTATCATCTTCCTAAGAGAAGTCTCACAGGGCGTAAAGGTTTGCTTGGCATGTGCGTTCTTCGTTTCGATTGGAATGTCATGATTGGAGGAACCATCTATGGAAATCCTGCCCTCAACCGCAACAGAAGTCCTAACTTTAGACTCACCCAAAACGTGCCATCCTCTACTTTGGCGCGCAGTTCCACTCATAAGTGTTTTATCCAACCATGGTGGGGTCATGTCCCAACTTGTGGAGGTTGAAATCCCACACTTATACCCATAAAACACCATAAAACTACCCCAGTCCAATCACTGGTGAATCACTGGTGATATCAGTGTTTTTGGCATCGGGTCCCGACGGTCCCGACGGTCCCGATGCGCCGCCTGAAAACCGCCTCAGGAACTCTGGACAAACTGGAGCTTCGCGGATCTTTGCACACGCGCTGAAGCCTCAGGTGATCAAGGCCAAACGACTTCAGCAGCTGTTCCCAGCCACCTGCCCTTGAGACGGTGATTTCTAATGAAGTTTGCTTTTTTGGGAATCTAGAAACATCAGAAACCCAAGAAAGTATAGAAACATCACATCGTACTAAAACAGTGGTAAAACACGTGTGTCTATTATTCTATCCTTTTTGGAGGTGACTTTTTCGCAATTTTTCGGGGTCGGTGGGCGATCCAAGGAGATCAAAGAAAGTTATGTGCAGCAGCCACTAGACTATGGCCGAAATTCTCGCTATGGAGATGAATGGCGCATCTCTTGCTATATGGTGGTTATGGAAAATTGGAAGCCAAAGATCATGCCCCATGAGCCCATGTTGAGGTGGGCTGAGATGGCTGAGATGGCTGGATCGGGCTGCCATGAGGGATTTTTTAAGGGATATACTCCAAGATTAGAAACATTTGATCAGGGAAAAACATGAAAAAAACATCTGATCAATCATCAGGCTTTTCGAGTTTTTTTTGTGTGCCTGCAGAAGCACCCGGATCAGGTCCTAATTTTGCGAGGTATCCCTTGAGACCTAGAGATGGCATGGGGAGAGAACAAGAATTGACCAGCTATTTTACCGATCTGCCAGGTTTCAAAGCCATCTTCTGTCCACATTGATACTTGAAAAGTTGCCTTTTTTGGTACTTTGTCATTCTATGTCATTCTTCATACCTCTACACAGAAGCCAGCGCGTATGGATCAAAATTGGGTACCAAGTCATTGCTGGGCCAGATTTCACTGGGCTGTTCCCCCTGGCTGGTCGATGCGATGTGATACGATTGCTGGTAAAAAAGTGGGATTATCAAAATCATAATCCATCGCAGTTATGGCCCTTTACCAGGTATAAGTACTTATAATCCCATTTATAACCAGTTATAATTAATAAATGGCCATAACTGTGGGAATCCCTGTTAACCAAAGAGTATGACAACTGGTTGGTGGTGACTGGAACATGTTTTATGACTTTACATATATTGGGAATAATCATCCCAACTGACTAATACTTGTGTGAACAACTGACTAACATTTTTCAGAGGATGTGAAACCACCAACCAGACTAGGTATTGAACAATGCTCACATGTGCGTGTCTCAGGTGTTTGGGAGAGGTGATGCGCGAGTGCGTCAAAAGCTTTGAGTGCTGGTACTGCACCGGTGGCCGCAATCTGCGCTTTTGTGTCACTAGCGATCCCTTAAACTGAACCCACCAAACAAGTAAACATTGGAATTTGACCAACAAACATGGAGATTTCATGTTGTATAGTTGATTAGTTCAAGTTGGTTTCCAATAAATGTTGGATCTATGGTAGACATCGAACTTCTTGGGGGCGCTTTAGATCTGTGCTTCCAGTGGAAGATGATGCAACTTACCGGGCCCGTTTTTGAAGTCCAAATCTGACACCTTTGTTCATCACCCCAAAATATGGCTAATTTCATACAATGTGGTACCTTCAAGCTAGCTAGTTTGGTTTATAGTTCTAACAACTGGGACTTTATGGTATGCATATTATATAATGATATATATATATATGTATATATATATATATATTATGCATATATATAGTATATATTTAAGTATAGTTATGTATATATATATATTGCGTTACTATATGTTACTATATTATATATACAGTTAAAATTTATGATGGGTTATAAACCAACTGACAATTGGTGGGCACCACCTCGTACGTAGGTTTTGATCATTTTTGACAATTTTTGACAAAGGGCCTCATGAGCCAGGTAGCCTGAAGGGCTTTAAACAGGGCAGCAAACCGTTCTCTGTACCTTGACGTTTGAAGAGCTATGGGCTAGGGAAGGACATTGGTTAAGGAAGCTGGTCCTGGGGATTTTGTGTTGAAAAATGAGGAAGGAATCCATAGAGAATTCCATTTGCCAGTATATTGCAGTTATGGCCCGAAATACCATTTATAAGTACTAACAAAACCCCATTTATAGAATGTATAATTCCATTGAAATAACCAGTTATAACTAATAAATGACCATAACTGTGGATTATGTGATCCATGGTTCGTGCTAATGAGAATGGCGAACACCGATTTCTCGTTCCTGATTTGTTTCTTTCTTGTCCGGGCCGCCTTATGATTGAGCCTATGACCTGTCAGTTGATTGTTTTTTTTTATTTTACATGTTCGCACGCAGAAACGTGGACAGATGTATTCTTAATTATGCAAGAAACACATTACAAACAAGTTGAAGCCATCCTGGGTTTTCTTGCATATTCAGCATCAAGCCTTTACAAGTGATATGCATGTGTGCTCAGAACACATCTCTTCACAGCGGTCGGCAGGTGATGAATGCTTTTGTCACGAGATATCGCCCACTGCACGGCGAGGATGAGCTGAAGAAGCATATCGACCCTTGGCACATCTACTGCCTCCGCCTTTCGATAGAGAAACCAGGGTGAATGGTAGATATTAAAGTTGAGGAATAGATGTGTGTAGACCTAGGTTTGTTTAAGGTTAAGTTTTAATTGACCAATGGAAAATCCACCATTTGGGGAATCTATAGGAAGCATGTTTTTATTGTGTGGTGACTTTTTACACAAATCCAAGTAGATTTTGCAACCGACGTTTTTGCTTCAATAAAGAAGCAGCTACTGTGGAAGAAATCCTGCACCACTTTGGTTGAAACCCTAGAAATACTGGGATAAACATGGATAAACCACCAAGTCTAGGAAGTCTGAACAGCATCCAGAGTTGTTTTCCCTACCCTCTGGTAAACAAACATAGCTATTGAAAATGGCCATAGAAATAGTTGATTTACCCAGCTATAAAATGGTGGATCTTTCCATAGTTTTTTGTATGTTTACCAGAGGTTAAACCTCCATTAATCACCATTAGATCCCATTCAACCACCATGAAATCCCATGAAATCACCATTAATCACCTATGGGTAATGGCTTGGCGGCATCCGCTGCGCTGAGGATGGGGCCAACGTGGATGGTTCATGCATCCTGGCGCTTCCCACGGATGAACCCTTTGAGGGCGGAGCGTTGCATGTTTGGGATGGCAAACCAAAGCAGGCGCCCAAGTCAGGTGACGACATAAACATGATGAAACATGAATATATATATATATATATTTATACGTACATATATACATATATATATATACACACATATATATATATATGGGGGTTTCCTAAAACATGGACACCCAAAAATGGATGGTTTATAATGGAAAATCCAGCTATAAATGGATGGATGATTTAGGGGTACCCCCATTTCAGGAAACCTCCATCCATATATATATATATATATACATTGTGTATATACACTAAAAGGATATAGATATTAAAATTATAAACATAAAAACTAGAATCAGCTGATCCTAAAATCACCATTATAGACATAAAACTATAGTGGTTCATGGATAAAATTGATAGAGTTTTATGAACCCAATGGATTACCATCGCTAATGGATATTGAAGAATGATGGGGATGTAATACGGATGCAATGGGAATAACCTCCGGGAATCAAACATGGCTGGCTGGGAAATCTCCTACAATGGAGGTTTCCAACTGGGAAAATCAGTTGTAAATTGAACATTTTCCGCAACCAATGTCTGATTACTGGAGGGAGTATCCCACTACTGCACAAAGATACATTCAAATATCCATAGTGCACTGATCCATGCATGCATGTCTTTCTCACTTACGTCAACTTCTTTCTCAAACTTATGTGGAACTGTATATATAATTATGCATATATATATATATATAAACAGACAAACACATCAGTATGTATATATATACTAATATACATGGTATTTCTTTCAATGTAAGGATGACATTTCAATGCATCTTGTTATAGATACTTTATATAATGGTTTCTTGTCCATATGGTTTGATGGTTTCCATAGATGCCATCCACATTGGATCGCCTGGGATACCTTCTCCCACCAACAAAACACTTTCATGGAGGAGCTGGTCTACAAAATGGCACCAGGACAGGAAATGGGCGAGTGACCCCAGAGATCATTGACAGGTGTACATATATATATAATACAAGGTGCAATGTATATATATATATACATATGGTGGTGTATAAAAATATATATATATATTACTAGACCTTAACCTATTTTAACAATGAAAGATGGTGGTTTCACCAACAATGGTTGCTTTTGGTGCTCCTTGGTGATATTGACTATATTTTATTGGTTACATATATATATAAAAAGAGACATGTGAATTGTGTTTTTTGTGAGTTTAACCATGACATGGCAAAGGTGGTTTCTGACGGGGAAAAAACTGGCGATAACACAGGGTACCCGTGGCTTGTTGGAAAATCACCTTTTAAATGGAGGATTCTACTTTCTGGTAACTTAACATATCTATTGAAAAAGACCATTTATAGTGGATTTGCCAATTGAAAATGGTGATTTTCCATAGTTTGTTGTATGTTTACCAGAGAGTAGCTGGGAAAATCATCTCCAATTGGATATAACTGGGGGATTTGTCAATTGCCATGCTTGATTACAGGAGGGTATGCAACATCATATATCGGATTTTATCGGGACATCAGTGGTCTTGATTGCAAACTTATTAACATGCGGATGTATCTTTTGGGATCTTGTTGATTTTATTAACCGGTTTTTTCTTTACACATTGTTAGACGCGATTAAATATGGAAATGATTTATCCCCACACCCAAAGCTGCGTTGTTTTGAGTTTGAGAAACATCATATGCCCAGACCAAATTAACGTATTGATATTCTATTTATCTATTGCAGTTATTGCAGTGTCTTCAGCCTGTATCCATCCATTCCCTCTTTGGGTCACAAAACAGGAGACTGCATATTCATGGATACCAAGCTGCTTGGTTGGCAAGTGTCATTTTTTTGCCGTGGCATGTCAGTCATCCCCCGTGGTTGTCAGTCCACATTCGACGCATTCCCCAAACAGCGTGGCCACACTGAGGGGTTCTTACGGTAACAGTTAAGGCTTGGTGTTCAATCGAGGTGGTCTCGGAAGTGTCCGGCATTTTCCCTGTAAATTTCCGCACAAAATGCCTCTTGTGACATGTCCATGTGCATTTCGACTGTGCAGGCTCGCACAAAACGGGTGTCGCAGGATTCGCGTCCGGGATTTTCCCTGTAAATTTCCAAACAAAATGGCTTTTGCGACGTGTCCATGTGCATTTCGACTGCGCAGGCTCGCACATCCACATCCACACCATCATCATCATCATCATCATCATCAACAACATCAAGTTGACCCTACAGGTAGCCAGAGGTAAAACCACAACTAGCTTTACACTCGGATTTCGGGGCTATCCCAACTTGTTCAAATATCCCGTTATATCCAACAACTGCCCCAGTTATTCCTACACTGTGATGACCCCCAGTTATGAGTTGGCCTATAACTGCAAGTAACTACAGATATATTTCCCATAAGCTTGAAGTAGCGTAGTTATAAATCAGCTTAGACAAGGAGACATCATCCATCGTATCATTGGTATGTATGTATCCCCATTATATTTCCATCATATACCATTCATATAGTAGTTGTGTACCATGTATCCCCATGATATTCGCATCATATATATATAATATATATAATTCCCATGATCCTCAGATTTCATCAATTTCATCCGCATCATCATCCGCATGATATGTTTATGTCATAATTATAGATATCCATACATGATGTTCATTTTTTTTCCAGCGGATGTCCCAAGCATGGGATCCCAAGTTAGGCTCTGGCGGGGGATGCCCGGAGCCTAGGATTTGGCATCAGGCCAAGCCAATCACCGCCGGGAGCCGCTGGGCACTGGTGCTGTTCCTGAAATTGGCGCGCTAGGAATCCGCGTTTGAGTTGGCGAGTTGCAGATGGTAGCGACATGTTTTTTTCCTGGTTATATGGATTTATAGGAGGCTAATCTTGTTGATGATTTATACGGATAATTTATATTGATCATTATAAGGATGATTATGTTCATGGCTAATCCTAGATAGTTTCGAAAAAAAAACATATGTATATACATACCCTCTGGTAAACCTTTACTGTGTGCGAACTGGCAAATTACCATCTTTCCATAGGTAAATCAACGATTCAAATGGGCCATTTTCAATAGCAAACTGTAGCAAATTACCAGAGGGTAATGGATGTTTGTGTTGATGGAGTCATGGAATTTTACGGGAATGTTTGAAAATGACATACCTACTGTATGGATGATAATGAATGATCTTTGGCAAATCTGGGATTAAAAAATGGTTGATTTGAATTTACCTGCGCCATGGTAAAGAGTTGGATTCTAGGCCCATCATGTTGGGGAAGGGGAATCAATCCATGTTCAGTTCGGGAGTAAAGAAATGGGGATTTCCATAGTCATGGTGGTACCCCTAAATGTATGGTTTTTAAGGGAAAATCCTATTAGAATGGATGATCTGGGGGTATCCCTATTTTAGGAAACCCCCATATCTATGACATCTATGATGTTGATCCCTACTATGGGATGGATGACCATAACCCAGAGAAACCTCATCTTTTCACCACGGCACATTTAGCATATTTGGGGATAACCATCGTCACTTAGTTCCAAGCCTTGTTGGTTTGTTTCCTGATGGGTTTGCCCAAAAGTGGTTAATCAAGTGAAGATCATACCCCCATGTATTATTCCTGAAACAGTGGGGAGAATAAAATCCATTTGGATGTTGTTGTTTTTCTTCCCAAGTTTGCAGACAACGGCGCCAGCTGCGACAGCTCAGATGGAGTTGATGATCAGATACAGTATTTCAACACAGCGGAAGAATATTAGAGTTTATATATGTTTATATAGTTAAATATTTGACCATAGATTTATGATTTATCTGCTAGTTTCATTAGATTATGATACCCACGATGATGTAACATGATGCTCAATGACCAATCTTTCGGCCCCCAGATGCTGAGCAGACTCCACTTGTCCTGCAGTTGGAAGTCCAAGTTTTCAGGTGGTGCTAGAAACCGGTCGTTCATTCGGTGGGTTTCTTTTGTTTGAATCCCAGAAACAGATGGTATATAGAACTACTATATGAATGGTATATTGTGGAAATATGAGGGTATCTAATGGGGATACATACCAATGATATGATGGTCACCCCCCAAAAAAGTGTGCATAATTTGGTGAAGGATTTTTTGAGTGGGATCACTTGGTTGATCGTTTCAGATCACAGTTTCATGCTCTGTTACCGTCCACAACTGCTACCTTTACATGACAGTTGAGAAGTGTTTTAAACCCCCTGTTGATGAAATTCTAGGGGGTTATACTACCAAATACTAGCCAATATATTGGGACCTATCATAATTATGGGAATCCACGAGAAGCCAAGCTTGGAGGTAGACTCATCCGGATGACTTCCAGCTACTTTCTGGTAACAGTTTGCCATAGAAAATAACCTTATCTCATATGAAACTAATCATTAGTGTAACTAATCCTTTTAGTGTGCCATCTGTGCAATAGCAAACTGTTAAATTGCCCGACGCGAAGAGATGAATAGGCCCGGAACCTCGAAAGGAAGCGGGGCAACGTACTCGCGGCTGAGGGAGAGGCTGAGGGAGAAAAAGCACTGCAGATGCAGTTTAGTTACGTTGCAGTTCGGGTGATGGTTGATCATCAATTTCAGGGTCAAGGGAATAACAGATATTCTATCCAGTCCTTTCCCGGAAGGTTTGGATTGGCCATTGTTTTTGTTTCGTGCGCCTACTCCCAGCAACTCCGCCATACTTCCAATGTCTTGTTTGGGCAAGCATGGATGGATTTGATTCCGAATGTATTCCGCATGTAAGTTGCAGACAAAGTGACTGCAGATCGAATCTTTTACAGATATACAGATATATCGTATACCATGCTTGCAATACATGTTTTTACGTTGTGCAATATATCCTGGTGATATCCGACGAGCATCGGCGCAATGGCCGATGCTTGAAAGCCAATGTCGCCGGTCACGGGTCAGAGCCCATGGGTCAAATCAAGGGGGTGGTGGTGCTGTTTGATGGCTACAAGGTGGTGCACCCCCTAGTTATGAATTGGTTTTTGAACCCCATTAACTATACCTATAAACCATAGTTAATTATTGGAGTTATAAACGAACTTAGCTATCGAACGGGGGCACCACCTTGTAAGTTGGTGAAGATACCCTCTGGTAAACTAAGATTTTACTATGGAAAATCACATTTTTTTCATGGGAAAACTCACTATAAATGGTCATGTTCAATAGTTATGTTAAATTACCAGAGGGTACGCTCTGGTAATCAAACGTGGCAATGGAACATTCCCTCTAAATGAAGGTTTTCGTAGGAAAATAAAAACAATAAAGGGTGGATTTTCCATTGCCATGATTGATGACCGGAGGGTAAGTTCAAAAGCTAGGACTTATGGGTGATATATGGAACTAGTTGTGGATGTGAATGGCTGATGGTTTTGTACACCAACAAGCATCACTGGGGGGTTCTCACTTTGATACATTCTGGTACCCATACCGCCAACAAATGATCCTCCATAGCTACCAGCTATTTCAAATATGTGCCAGGGTACCAGCGTTTTAAACCCGCACCCACATCTACACACAACCTCATCAAACATACCCTAGACAGCATCTGGATGGAGATGTCACCGACTCAAATTTGCAGGGAATGTGAAATGTTGAAATGTGGGTGTTCCTAAAAAACTTGTATATGCCAATTTGCAGCCGTTGAAAAATGTTGATTAGAATGAACCATCAAAACTTGGAGGTTCCACCATAAACCCTAGTCACTTAAATTATAGACCAACTTAGTTATTACAAATCACTGATAAATCTTCATTAAATCCTGATTTTCATTAGTCAATGCATTTGTCTATATTTCATTGCCTTCGGCAAGCCCACTGGCCATAGAGAGGTGACCCCAAGGGAGTTTGATGTGCATTCTAGGTGGAAGCCCGCGAGAGGGCAGAAGAGAAAAGAAGGAGAAGAAGAAGAACAAGAAGAATAAACATAATAAGAAAGGAAGACGAAGACGAAGCCGTAAAACGGAAGCGGCTTGTGTAGCAAGGTTTGCTGTAACAACCTATTGACCGTATACCAAATCAGTACCGTCCCCAGCAAAGTAGCGCCAGGTACTATGTATGAGCCTCTGTCTTGACAGCAGACCGCTGCACAGAACGAAACAGGGGAGAGAGATTGCCCCAAGGGAGGTTGACGTGCACGCTAGGTGGAAGCCTGAGAGAAAAGAGACGAAGATAGAGCCGTAGATCAGAAGCAGCTTGAGTAGCAAGCGCGTGCTTGAACAACCCATGGACACATACCAAATGAGGTCTGGTCGATCAGTACCGTGTGCGTCCTGTGACAAGTACCTGTAGACGACGGTAATGCTGTAGGCAATGTCATCAGCTACCGTCACTACCAGTGTAGTACTTGGGGAAGAAGGACGGAGTAGAGGAGTAGAGGAGCTGGAGTCGGAGTAGGTGTCGGAGTAGGCGAAGGAGTAGGAGTGGTAGTAGTGGTAGTAGTGGTAGTAGTGGTCGTAGTGGTAGTAGTGGTAGTAGTGTTAGTAGTGGTAATAGTAGTAGTAGTAGTACTTGTAGTAGTAGTAGTAGTAGTAGTAGTAGTAGTAGTAGTAGTAGTAGTAGTAGTAGTAGTAGTAGTAGTAGTAGTACTTGTTGTAGTAGTACTTGTTGTAGTAGTACTTGTTGTAGTAGTACTTGTTGTAGTAGTACTTGTTGTAGTAGTACTTGTTGTAGTAGTACTTGTTGTAGTAGTACTTGTTGTAGTAGTACTTGTTGTAGTAATACTTCTTGTTGTAGTAGTACTTGTTGTTGTAGTAGTACTTGTTGTTGTAGTAGTACTTGTTGTTGTAGTAGTACTTGTTGTTGTAGTAGTAGTAGTAGTAGTAGTAGTAATTATAGTAATAATAGTAGTAGTAGTAGAAGTAGTAGTAGTAGTAGTAGTAATAGTATTAGTAGTAGTAGAAGTAGTAGTAGTAGTAGTAATAGTAGTAGTAGTAGTAGAAGTAGTAGTAGTAGTAGTGGTAGTGGTAGTAGTATACTACGAGTACTGCTAGTACTACTAGTACTACTAGTACTAGTGCCAGTACTAGTACTGGAGGGGGTGACCTTGATTCAGACGAAGCAAAAATTCGCAGCAAGAGAACAAAGGAACAAGTACAAGCCAAGAACAGAAACAAGTACAAACCAAGAACAGAAACAAGAAAACAAGAACAACACCTTCCAATCAGGCACGCCGGCAGGCCGGCGGATTTGCTTGTGGTCTCTTGGTGGAAACTTAGTGGATGATTGACCAGCTTCCTGTGGCTGTAGGTGCATAAGGCGGCTCCTGCGTCGTCCCGACGAGTACTGGCCTCACTGGGAGTTATGGCAGTAACTACTGTAGTTCGATGGGTGGAACTAAAGCAAGTTAGACAACTGGAGAGGTCCCTCATTGATAAGTAAAGCCTTACAATAAACCCACTTACAAAACTGTTCAAAATGAGAGGTTCATAGGTAATCTTCCATGCAAAAACCATGAACCCTCATTTTCTGAAGATTCCATGCAGTTTTTAGTAGAACCATGTAGAACATATGTTCGGAACCAGCCCATGACTCATGGCAAGGTTGGCAGGTTAGTTTGGGGATGGTATCATGTTTTTGCTGGTCGAACTACACCTTTTTTTTGCATTTTAGTAAGGGTTACCCCATTTGTTTGGGATACCTGCCGGCAAACTCATCTAGATGTGGAATCTCCGGAGTTCCTCAAGGATCGTTATATATATATATATATAAATGGTGGGTTCTCAACGTCTATATTGATTTACTGGAGAGTCTATTTGGTTTCACTGCGATGTTTAAATCATATTCGAAACATGTCGAAAACACAAATTGATTTCCATGCCTGTT